TTGCACCTCTGATGTGGTCCTCTCCTAGCCCTAAGAGAACACCCCTTGTGGGCAGTGTGTGTCTTCCTCCCAGAGAAATTCACAAGCTGGCTCTAATTCCCCCTTTTGCCTCTTTACAAAAAAATACAGCTGCAGAAAGTCTACTCCCAAGGAAAGAGCTACAACAACGGGGTGAGTGGTAACACAATCAAAGCTCTGCCCACACCTGGGGCCTCTGCCCTCCCCTTCCTATTATGTGGTATAGCTGCAAAGAAAAGTCCTTATTTGTCTAAAAATTGCATAAATACCAAACACACCGAAAGCATCACTTTAGAGTTAACAGGATCCCCACCCAAGAGCAGAGTTTGTCTTTGCACTTGCCCTTAAAGCTGACGAGGTTATGGCAGTAATCACAACAAAAGACAACTGGGATTTCTGCCTTGTTTTTTCTAACTTCAAAGGTCAAATCTAGATTCCTCCCTCTGTTTCAGTTGCTATAATGATTACCTCATATTTCTCCCCAAATAATTTACTGAATCCCTCTGGGAAACTGTATGTTTAAAAGGAGAAGTCAATGGAGAAATGCAGGGAAGAACCACCCTAGCACGCTGAAATCAGCAAGCCCAAGACTATGTGAAAATGTGAAGGGGGGAGAGAGAGGGGGAGGGAGGGAGAGAGATAACTATAGCACTGAACATAGAGAGGGACATCAGAAAATAGCTGGGACCTGGTGACTCACAGACCAATAACTCACAGATATAGGAAGGATTTTTGGTCACGTAGTGTTTTCCTGAATCCCATAATACACAAGTTTTGATTAATGATGAGAGCAAGTCATAGTTATCTGTAATGCTTTCTAACTTATTTTCTTCTCAGAACCAGTGTTCCATATAGAAAAGTTCTTAAGTGAGCCAGTGTTCCATATAGAAAAGTTCTTGTTTGGTCTGGCAGCACACAGACCAAACAAGAACCTCGTGCAGGCCAGTATGGCAAGAAAGTGGGTTCCTCTCAGGGAATTGGGACAGCTGGGACAGCTGTGGTCCAAGCCTCCAGGTGCGGAATAAAGGCCACAGCTTAAGACTGCTGAGGCAAACCCCTGGGGACATATTCAAGAAGGTTACATTCCTCCCCATCTGAGGAAGCTTCCTCCAGGCAGCCCCTGCCTTCTCAAACAGGAAGGGGAAAAGGTCCCAGAGAGGAAGGAGACAGAAATAGCCTCAGACATGAGTCATGAGCCTGGGGGGAAGGAGCCCTGTGCCTGTGTACCCATAGCACCTAAGGTCCCACGATGAGTGTGGCCAGTGTGGCTTTTGAGCAGGGCTGGGGTGATTCGGATCCCAAAGAGGGAAGGAGGGATTGGGCACCTGGGGGTGGGAAGCCTTGGAAACAGCTAGACTTGCCTGCCCAATCCAAATGGGCACAATGAGAGTGAGCCTGGACCACTGGGCAACCATGAGCAGGCAAAGAGGAACTGACCAGAGGCAAAGTGGCCCATTCATGGCCTTCCTGCTGCCTGCCAAATTGGAGGCAGAAACCCGCAGGAGGGAAGGCCTCACATCTCCCACTGGCCTCAACTCCAGAGTGGCACAGACTGCGGGCGGGAAAGTCCATGCTCCATCAGGGAGCCCACCAGGGTCGGTGCTTACAGCTTTCTGAAGGGAGTCGATGAGGTTTTGCAGGTCGATGTCGTCCCGGTAGGACCTGATGTTGCTCTCGAAGAACTCTCGGAATCGGTCCCTCACCCAGTCCTGGAACAGGAAGGCCAGGACAGCCACAGCCAGCTCCAGGAAGAAAATCAGCACGATGGCACCGCAGAACTGCACAGGGACAGGAGCAGGTGTTACCACACCACCAACCTGGCCCACGCGCACACACCCTCACATGACCAGAACACCACTGCCTGCCACCAAGTATGGGCTCTGCACCTGAAACCCATGTAACTGCACTGGTGGTAACAATCAAATGACTGAAAAAGTATGAGAAAGCTCCAAGCCAATGGGACTTCAATTATTTCCTATAAAACAGCCCTCCTCCCTGGATAAGAAAAAACCCATGTCACAGAGACAAAAAGCTGTCCTGCCCCACCAGGGTGTTGGTTCATTTATGACAGAGCCTGTGCCCCAGACACTATGTTATAACACTATGCACATACAATCATCTGAGTTCCCGGAAATCTGTCACTCCCACCTTAAGGATGAGAAAACTGAGGCTATGTTGCTAGTACATAACTTGCTTGAGGTCGCATAGCTCATGCAGGACATTTAAGTTCCCTGGCAGGGTTCTTTACAGCTAAGAGGTGCCGATGTTATCCACATGCACTCTGTGAGTAAATGATCATCAGCCGCATAAAGACCCCTCCAGAAGCTCAGCTGCCCTTGGCCACAAGCAGTGGCAGCATTCGGCAAGGGCACACGCAGCCACAGGTCTATGCCTTTTCCGTCATGGCAGACTACTGGCCTGCAGTCTGTGTCCTCACAGTCATTGCATTGGCCACACAGAACAATAAGCAGTTTTGCCACAACTAGCAAATGTGGAGGAGCCTTTCAAAAGTAAGACAGAGGGGAAACATACACATGCATGCACACACAAGACCCTCCAAAATGTAATCTCTGTTCACATAAAAGCATCTTGATATATACATGATACATACAAAAAACATGATATTTTTTAAGAGAAAAAAATTAGAAAAAAAAGCACTTTGCTTTTTAAATTAAGTTCAGGAAAAAGAAAGCTCGACCTAACAAATTCAACAAATAATACATTACAAAAAGCAATAATGTGTTTTCCCCACCAGGTGCTATGTAATTTTAACTGAATACATCTAAAAATGAATTTGTATCTAAATATAAAACTAAACTCTTAGTAACTCTGCAGTCCTGCCAAGAAATTAAGGATTCTGCACTGCACATCCAACCAATTCACACACCCTGGAGGAGGGAAATGATTTCTTAACATTACTGGCAACATCTTTTGATCTTAGCCAGGAAGGGCAAAGGTGAGTAGCAAACAAACAATCCCTTTAGAACTTCTGAAGGAAGATAAAAGGCAAATGGGGGTGTGCAGAGCTGATGGGGAGCAGTCCACTCCTCCCAGTAGGGGCAGGAAACCAGAGAGGCTCAACTTCTCCTGGGGGAGAAGCCAGCTCATCTGACTTCTGAAATCTTACCACTGGGGCAGCAGAGCACTCAGGGCTGCCTCGGCTTCCACGCTGAGGTCTGTAGGAGGCTTCTAGGAGCAGCTACCCACTTGACCAGGTAACATATAAGCCACCTGGCAGAGCCCGCACCCTACACCCACCCCACCCACCCCAT